CCGCCACTGGCGGCTCCGCGCCCCTTCCAACACAGTGGTGCGGCGTGCCGGGGGGCGCGCACCGTAGTGTCTGTGTGGTGCTCCTTGTAGTCCAGCAGCAGAGGCTCCCCACCGGCAGACGCGCCTGGGGACCGATCGGCAGTGCAGGCGGGCATGGGCGGCAGCAGCCGACAGATCTGAAACATGCCCTCCACAGCTGCGGGCCGCGCAAGCCGAGGCTGGGTCATGAGCGCGTCGGCAGCATCAGATATCGGCGCCCCCTGCAGGCCGTACTTTGGGTGCTTGAACGCCCTGGGTCCATCGACTGCCACCCCTCACCCTTGGCTGCCTTCTTGTCGTCGTCCTTGGGCCCCTTGCTGCCGTCACCCTTGAGCAGCGCCTCCAGGAACTCCTTGTAGTCCTGAGGTGTGTGTGTGTTGTGTTGTGTTGTGTGTGTGCCCGCGCATGTGTGCGGGGGCGTTAGGGGATGGAGTTTGGGTATGGATGGGTCGGTCCAAGGGGTGGCGGTGGAGGGGCGGGGGTATGCGGACACGGGGATGGTGAATGGTGAGGAGGGAAGATAGGAAATGGGGAACGTGGTTGAAAGGGTCCACGCATGGGAGGTGGACGACGCTGATGGGACGGGCAAGCTTTATTGAATGGGCATGTGCTGGCGAGCGCCTGCGGACCACCGCTTGCAGAGCTCTTGGCCAGACAGAGGCCGTCAACCTCCTGGCGGCCGAACCCTGAACATTATACCAGGAGCTGGCCACTCGCCTGCGTCCACTTCCGCACGGGCAGCTCAGTAATCTCGATGGTGTGGTCGCCAGACTGCACGGGGCGGGGTGTGCGCATGTACGCATGAGTACAACCATGCATGCATGAGTGCGGTATGCATCCTTGCATGCATACAGGAGCAAGGCCGGCATATGAGATTAGGGTCTCGACGCAATCACTGAAACTTGACGGGCCCACTGCGCCTCAGTTCTTCCGCACGGCCGTGCCCAGGTGCCCGTCCTGCAGCACGCCTCTACAAATGCCTAAGCTGTCCTTTTCGCACTCCCAGCAAGCCCTTGCCCCGCCCGTCGCAGCCGAGCGAGCCCCGCGAACCGCCCGCGGGGCAACGCCCCGTGCCTGCATGCGCCTGCATGCGGCCTGCATGCGCCCGCATGCGCACCTGGCTGGCTGTGCCCGAGATGTTGTAGCTCTTGCCGGCCGTTTTAGAGGGCACCTCTGCCACGTCGCCCCGGAAGCCGCGGTACCACGGCGCCATGGGCTCCGGCGCCTCGCCGCGCAGCAGGCGCTGGGGCGCGGCGGCGGGGACGGGGAGGGGGACAGCGGGGTGGTGTGGTGTGGTGTGGGTCGTGGCGGCGGCGGCGCACTCAGCTTCCTTGCAGACGAGGCCTGCCTCAACCAACGCTGCCCTAAGCTCGGCCGAGAATGTCTTCCCAGGAACAATACGCTCAACATATTTGAGGGTATACAAGAACATCCTGCACACTGTAACTTAGCACGTGTGTCATACCGTAATAATCAACTGAGGGTGGAAACCGCCGCCCCACCTTGAGGTTCTCCACGATCTCCTTGGGGTTGAAGTTTGGCACATAGGTCGACCACCCGGTGCCGATGCCCTCCGCGCCGTTGACCAGAACCATGGGCAGGATGGGCATGTACCTTTTATTATTGAGGGGGGGGGGGAGGGGGGCGAAAAAATGACGACATGAAGTTGCGCGAGGACGGCAACCTATTGTGGTTTGAAGCTTGATGTTGGACCGTTAGTCCAAGGCCCGGCAACTGGCGTTTCGGTGCCGATGCGTTTTGTGAGCAGAAGTGCCAAGTCAAAGCCCCCACCCAAAATCGTGCGGATGCGTGCACGCAAGCCAACCATCCACCACTCAGCAACCGCGCGTCCGCCGCTAGGCAGCCAAGCATCCAATTTGTCATGAGGACGCGCGGCCCCTGCCCCACACCCAACCTCATGCTTGCCCCCCTTCC